CCAGAATCACAGCCCCCGGCATCACTGCAATGGCCTTGGCACCTCAAGGAGGGCACCGAAATTGAGGAGTGATGGCAAAGGTCAGCAGACTCTCAGTGTCAGCAAGGTCTGGGCAAAAGCTCAGCCCTTCATTCATTACTGAGCAACCAAAGTGACAATGCAGCCTTTTACCAGGGAGAATTTGTGGCCCCGTCCACTGTCCATTGTATTGATTTCAATGAAACTTAAGCTCTTACTTAGAATTAAGCACTTCTTTGCCTGGTGCCCTCAGGAGAGAGAGAGTTTCCTCAACTGGGGCCAAACATGTACTTTGTACGGGGCATCTTCTGACCCAGAAGGTCATTTAAAGCTTCTGAGGGACTCTGAAGGGATATTTTTAATTGTTCAAAGTCTTGTTTTGGTTTCAGGCCCTGCAAAATAATCTGAATGTGTGTTTGTGTAAATGCATAAGGGAAAAACTGGCAAAGGAAGAAGCTTGCTATTCATTGCGGTTCAGGTCCTGCAACTGCGGAGTCAGACTGAGTTTTGCCATTTATTTCAGTCAGCACAGGGGCAAGCTGTCTAGCCATTTTGAATGAATAATTTTTTTTCCCCACATAGAGACAAAAGTAGCTGGTATAAAATCGAGGCATTTTTTTCTGATGTGATACATAACTTGTAGAATTATTGTATGTTTGCTTAATGATTATAACCTCAGAGTACAGGATAATTTCCATCCTTGTAATGGAAATCCCAGCACAGGGAGTGAGGCACAAGTGGGACCCACCTAAATGCTGATCACAGAAGCATTCCTGAGTCTGGCAGCTTTGCTACTGTAATCTTCAGGTTAGGTATATTCCATAGCAAACTCTGTATTGTTTTAGCAGTAACTGCCTGTGGGTAGGAATTATCCATTTCTGGGCTACTTCCACTCAAAACCACATCTTTGTTGGTCTTACTTCATCTGAGCTTAAACTATGCTTTTCTTGTTTATCTTTGTTTGTTAGCTATTCTTTTAACGTGGTCTGATGCAAAGTTGTTTTCGAAAAGATGAAGTGACGGAACAGCACTGTATCCTCCCTTTGCCCTTTGGCAAGGCAGGAGCAGGGGCTGCAGCAGGAAAAGACCTCCCATCCTGGCAGGTTTCTAGGCTGGTGCTCTGCAAGTCTGCATGTTAAACCTAAGGGTGTTAATGACTGTATGCAGACTGAAAATTCAGATGTGCTCCCTCTCTTTTGTTGCAGGAGGAAGTGTTTTGTGCTGCAGGTCTGAGAAAGGGCAGGCTGGCATGGAGAAAGAGGTAAGCGAAGAAAAACCACGCTTTAAAACAGAAAAATTAAAAGGGCTATTCCTAGCATTGCTATTTCATAATATTATTTGTAGTGTGATGGGAGGGAAGTCAGCAGACGCGTAGGCTCCTTTATATCATTGACAAGTCAAGGGGATGATTAACGAGAGTACCAGACAATGTAATGGTAGGAGAAGGCCCACAGAAGTTAAACAAAAGTGCCTTCAGAATTTAGAGAATTCCCATGATCCATAGTAGGACCTCATTGTGCTTGTCTACTGTTTCTATTTTTGATTAGATTTATAAACACAGCACCACATATTTTCATGTGGCTCATAGCCCCAGGGCAGAGCGAGATTGACTGTGCTGAAACTGTGAGGCTTGTGAATTTCGGGCAAGGGATGGAGTGAAATAAGTAGTGTAATTGTTTTTGTGGAGTGACCGTGGGACCTCCTCTGTTCTGAATTACACATGGTTCAACCCTTTGACCTAACCAACCTCGGCAATGCCTGGTAGATCTCCTAAAGCTGTGCTGAAAGGTCCTATCAGTGACATGTTGGAACATTATCTGTCACGTGAGATGTGTGCCAACAACCGTATTAAACTACATTAATTACTAGCGAGGCCATGTTTGTGACAATCTCAACTTCATTTAACCCATCATCATGTTATTGTTTAAACAGGAAGTACAAATGGGGACAACTTATGAAATAAAAATGCAACACCAATGTTTTCTTTAATAAATTGTATGTTTTACTTCGTTTTATTTCCTGTCTATTTTTTTTCCCTCCCAGCATTTTTGTTCTTGTCGTCAGCTCTGTAGCTTAAGTTTTTGAGGGCTTTTCTATTTTAAGAGCAAGCAAGAAAAAGACGACTGCTTAGTAACTAAACTAATAAGCCAGTGTAATTGTTATTTCTTTAAATGATACCACAGTTGACTGAAAGTGCCAATGTTTGTTTTCTAGCAAGAAGCAAACATGCCATAAGGTAGTTTACGTAAGGCTGAAAGATCACACGTGGGTTATTCGCTTGAGGTACACCTTCACTGCTTTACACTCCAGCTAGTGCATCTCTGCATGGTAATGCTTGCACACCTCTGGATCAGGAGTGAAGCATGCATTTCTTTTTAATTCTGAGAGAACAGTTTTCTCATGGGCCTGTCCCTGTAGGTAGCAAAGCATACTGTGAGTCCTCCAAAGGCAGCACAGGTTATTTTCTGAAACAGTTCTGAATTTTATAGGGGGAAGAGCCAAAAGCTTTCCTGTGTGCTCCTGCATGGGCAGTGTACAAATTCAATCATGCCTAGCTGTGCCCAGTATTATATTAGACTAGACACATCTTCCACCTACACACTGAGCTGCTCTTTTTTGACAAGGCTTTTCCTTTAGCCTTGTTCTCTAGCTAGAACAGGCTTAAATGAAGTGGGTTTTTATTTATTTATTTTTTAATCGCTGCGGAGTCAGCTAAAAAATGTTTGACCCCACTAAGTGTCATTCTCATTAGCAATGAAGAGTTTGCGCTCTGCAAAATCTAACATGGAGTGCTTAAAGCAGACAGGTGCAAATTACAAGCTGTTTCTCTTTGGCTGCCACCCCTTAAATAGACAAATAGGCTAGGAGAAGGGAAAAGGTTCCAGCTCCAGCTGCATAAAGGAAAGCCTTAACAGGGACTTAGCAGCTGGTTGCAAGAATTAAATGCTGTAAATACCAACTAACGCATTTGTGTGTGCTTTCACAGAGGAACATGTTTTTAGTCAGGCTCCATCCCTTTTTATGCGAGAGGATCATTCTTTGAAAACTGTGCTCTGCTTTGTGTTGAAAGGCTAATGCTCTCGCTGAAGTGAATGAGAACAGAAGCCAACATACCTGTTCCTGTTTACCATCATTACACTCCTTAGAGCATTTCAGGCATTATTAGGTTCTTGGAGCCCTACCAGATTGACAATATTTCCAGCTACTTCTCTTTTGGCTGTATTCAAACAAGGCCCCAAAGGAAAAAAAAACCAAAAAACCAACAACCAACCCACAAACAAAACCATGGATGAATCTGCTGAGCTAGTTTGCTGATGTTAGAAACAGTTGTTCATATTAGGAACACCTAATTTAATTTCATGAAAGAGACATAACATGCCAGTATGTGTATGAATCTAAGGTATGCATTTCCTAAAAGGAACTAAAACTCTGTCATTCCAAAGTTGGTCTTCTTTTTGACTTCCAGCTTGCATGGGGACTGCTGTCTGGAAGCAGTAACTTTAACTTTAACTCTAAGGCTGCTGATGAGGTCTGTCTGTGTGATCTTCGTAAGCAGATAAGGGTAGGGAGACAGCTCAGAGCAGAGCTTGTTTACAGCAGGACAGAAGAAAACAGCTAGACATAAATGAGGGCTGACGGTTTCATGAAGCACAATTGGTTGATCACAGATTCAATATGACTGCCCTGAACTGAGCGATGATCCGTACAGTATGCAAAATTCACTTTCTTGCTGGTCTGTGCCCACCAGCCTTCCAGCAGCTTTCCCAGAGCCCCTCAGCCACGGCTTTGAGTGGAACCAGAGCTGAACGCAGCATTGTTGTACCCAATTCCTTTTGACAACAATCACATTCTTTTAAAAACTTCATAGGTTTTAGTTGTCACTGGTTATAAATGAGGGTTTTTTCCCTTGCTGTTGCTGCTGCTATTGCGGCGCTCGCTGCTCTCCCGCAGACTCGAGTACAGTGGGTCTCGGTACTCCTGGTTTTCCTTTGTTTCAATTGGTATCAGAAAGCATTGCGTTTTAATGATGATGGCATGCAAAAAGGCATTTAAAGATTTAGGTCACTTTTTGAATGACGTGGTGATTAGTCTGCGCTGTGCTCAGACACTTCTAACTCCCGTTGTCTTTGCTGTAATGCAGCACACTCAAGGTAAAAATGCATTTTTTAAAAAAAAAGTTAAAAGGCAAGACTTTTTGTTTTTCACCAACTGTGGTGGAGCTTTGAGATATGATGAATTGCCATCAGCAGCAGTATCACCCTTTAAACTTGACTTTGCAAGCAAAGGACATCCCCTTTCTATGTGCTGGTTGTGGATGGACAGGTCTGATGTGTATTGTTTGTGGATGCAAGTTGAACCACCTCCACCACAGGTGTAAACCAGCACAGCATTTGTATCACTTGAGGCTCTGGCCTCAAGTTGTGTGACTTCGCTTTTTTGTAGGAATGCTTTTTTATGTTTATTTTTGGATAATGTTCTATAATTAGAATGGCGGCTTTCTGTACGGATGTGTGTTCATGTGCATTTGTCTAGGTATGCTCACACAACCGGACTTTGCCTGCAAATATGGCAGGTGGTCACTGAAAGACTTTTATTCAATTTGCTATTGGAAACCTAAGTTTTGCAGGTACATGTGAACGGATTAAAGAACAATTGCATTAGACATAAATTTGCATAAATACATAAATTAAGTAGTAGTGACTAATGATAAAATGAATATAAAATGCCACTGGATAATTTCCTGCCTATTCTCTGATGAGAAGGCAAAGTATCATAAAGGTAAGGGGGCTGGGGAAGGAAACCTAAAATGAAGGGGGGGGAGAGTGTAATTTACACTACTTAAAGGTGCTCATGTGTAAAAGAAAGAAGGATGAGGAAATTAGCTGGAGATATCTATGAAAGGAAAATGTCTTCTAATTTCCTCTGAAGCACAAAGTGACAAGAACATGTGTTGACTACACAAAGGCCATCACTGAAATACTGTTATTCTGTTATGTTGAGAAGTAACACTGGAAGAATTTCTCTCTGCTGTTGAAAATCAGGTGTTGCTTTCATTCTAAAAATATGAACTCATGAAAAACACCTGATCACATTAAGGGACAAGGGAATAATTTCTTCTCAAGTTCTTTGTAAGTAAGTAGGAGTCTCAAGCCTGTACATTAACTACGTAAAAATACTAATTTGTGATTTAGTGAGTGAAGTGCCAAAAAATGTAGTCTATTGTGTCCCTGAAAAAACAAAATTTGGTGCTAACTATACTGAATACTTTAAAAAAAACCCCAAAAAATCCAAACAAAAAAATCCCAAAACACACACACACAAACATCAAAACGTCAAAACCCACTATGTATCTTTATTAGATACAGGGGAGGAGGAATAAATTTTTTTTCTTCCTGCTGTGAAAGGAGCTTATGCATTTTACAGACTATAACAATTGAAAGTTGACTATGGCCAATATGGCCTGCAATTGGTTTTGCTGGGGAAATCTGACATGCAGAAGGATTACATAGAATGTGATGCAGATCTTCTTAATTCTGTCAAAGTTATGGATGCATACTGATTTACACCAGTTGAAAATTTGTCCCAGAATTTTTGTCTAGATGTTGTTTTCTTTAGTTGTTAACATGAAGTTTAACGTTTTGTGTGGTGATTATATGCAGTATAATAAGAGTAATTATCACACAGCAGTGTTACAAATACTGCTGGAATCTTAAAAACTGACTCGATTAAAATTTTATGGTATACAGGAATGCAACAATACTTTAATATTGCAAAAGTGATATAATTCTAAAGATACTAACTGAGCTAATATGTATTTTTGACAGATTTTTCAGTTGGGAAAAAATCAGAAGCAGTAGGGTGCATTTCTGAACCTATTGAACTCCTGTCAAAATTATCATTAACTTCAGTTGTGCTGCATGTGGCTTGTAGGAATTAATTCTGTTATAGTATTTATTTATTGTAGTTTCCAGAATGTGTCTAGTCTTTTTTAAACATATTCGCTTTTTAGTAGGGTAGTAGTCTTAATTTAGAGACAGTCCACTGTTTTCAGATTCAGATATATGCATGTGTGCATATATACATGTGTATGTATATGAAGATATTAATATCTATATTAATCTGTCAGTGCTATGGTTCAGTTATTTTTGACAGATTTATTGATTGTGTCTGCTGCAAGCATTGCTTTTTTTACTGGAAATTGACACCCACAATCAAATGGGAAAGATGGATGCTGTAAAAATTGCAATTTTTCAATGATTCTTGTAATTAATCCTTTTGTATTGACAGTTTCCAGGAGCTATGTTGCCAGGAGTGGTCTTTATCACTGGACAATTAAGCAACTGGCTTGAAAAAATAATGCTGTTTTTGGAAACTGCCATGTGACGTTCGAAAATAAATGGGTCTGAACTGTTTTCTTACTTTGGTTTTGGCTTTGATTAATACTCCCAGATGTGCTTTGTTTTAGGTAATCTCTCTGCCTGCTTTGACTGTTAGCATCTATTATAGGGGTCTGTAGCCATGCACGAGCCCTCATGTGACTCTCGCTAGTGCCGCTCAAGGTATTATACAAAGGCGGTGTTTAGCACTTGGGCCTTCCTGATGGTAGTAATGTGACCGCATTTTTTTTGAGCCTTGCTTCCCCACAGGAATTAACGTGGAACTTGCCAGAGTTTAGGTCCTCCAAGATCTCCTGCTATTTGTTTTCACTGTAACTGTTGTTGACTTCTCTCTAATATTAAATGAACTTTTCATCATTGTAATGATTCCTGCTTCCCCTCTCCCCTGGACCGTGATCTCTCTTTTGTGACATCTCGTCGTAAATTGTTTTGGAGTTATTTTTATTTTATTGCCTCGTACGAAACGGTAGAGCTCGTTCATTTTTAGCTGCTCTGTGATGAATAAATACACTGGTTATGTAAGTGGACCTAGAAAACAAGAGAACGGGGGATGTCAGGGTAGTCTGTCTATAAATACGCTGCATAACCAAACTTTTCTAAATGAAGTGCTGCAGTTCTGCAAGTGAAATAAAGCAGTTGCTGTTGAATGCATACTGTAAAGACAAGTCTTATAATGTTCTTCATTTGTTGAGGTTTCTTTGCATTAATTAAAATTGGGAAAAAGCAAAGTATTTTAATGTGACCTTCATTTGGCATTTGTTTTAACTTTTCTTCTCCTATTTTATTTAATTCTTCCACTTCTGTTGTTCAATTAGTGTTTGACCCCTTTAGCAGAGATGTAAATTAAATGACATTTCAATGCCATCCCATATTTAAAATACTGTGTTAGTTGTGGATCATAAAGGATGATCTTCGTTCTTTAGCTAATTTATTCATTTAACAATTTCCCTCCAGAAGTTCCAGCAGAAGGCTCTGAAGCAAACTAAGCAGAAGAAATCCAAGTCGGCTGAATTTCTGATGGGTGAGCCTTGCTTGATGAGTTATTGCTCATAATTTGTGTAAGGATTAATTAACTAATTACAGACAAATGGCTGTGGGCGAAATTTTGCTCTTGCTTGTCAGGGTGCAATTTGTAATTATTTTAATCATTTATTCTTTTTTTTTTTTTTAGAGTTAATTTTAACCTAATTCTGTTTTGGCGACATTTGAGGACGATACACTTGAGTCTTTCAGCAAAGGAATTACTAGAAGGAATTTTCTGCTTGTCATTGAAATACATTTTGCTATAATGTGCTCTTCTGACCTCCTTGTTTTCTGTAGTAAAAGAAGAGAGAGCGGCAACAGAAGGCATTGAAAATCCAGCTTTTAACATCAGCAGCACAGATCTTTCAGCATATCAGCCTTCAGAAGAGAAAGTTATTAGACATGACAAGCCAGATAGCACCCTTGCAGCTCACCAACAAAAACCCAGGCTGCAAGCCCATGCTGAACCAAGAGGTGAGACATCAAACCTGATTAGCCTCAAACGCAGCAACAGTGGTTGTGTTCCCCATCCAACCTGCACGCTCTGTGGCCTGCGCTGGGTGTTCCCGTCCTGACCTGTCCAAACAGGCGCCCCTGCAAACCCTGGATGGGAAACCCAAAATACTGCCGAAAACATCGGCTGTCTAAATATTTAGAGACCCGGGCTCCATCTCCATGCTCGGGTCACTCCCCGTAACAGGGGGTGCAGGTTGCACGGTGCTCCCCACCAGCGGGGGGGCGGGGGGAGTGCAGGGGGCAGGCTCTCATGGCAGCGCTTCCCCGTAATTTGTGTCGGGTTGGGTTTCGGAGGCACCGCAGCTGGTCCGAGCGCACAGATGCTGCTCCCTCGCTGGCTCCCAAGCATTGAGTAGTTTTAAACAGCTTACAGATCCATGATTGATTGTTGTTCTCAGGTCTCCCATATGCCCTCAGTCAATCAGCATCTTGCCTCTACTTCATGTTTCATTATTTTTTTCAGCCAGTGTTGCTCAGACACTTGGAGCAGAGCCCTGTTCGCTCAGCTTGTCCAGGAGGAGCGATCCTGGCTTTTTGATGCAGCACCCAAAAGAGACACTGCCTCAGGAAGCAATCTCTGTTTGCTATTTAGGTTCATTCAAACAGACTATAAGGATCTTTACTGATGTCAGTTTTCCTTTTGCAGAGGTTTGATATCTTTTAACCTGTTGTTTAATTACTCCATTTTGAACTACTATTACTGCTGAATGTTACAACCAATGGTTATTTTTACTTAGTAATCCAGTGAGGAAGAAGGTGAGGAAAAGAATTTAAAGGCATCTTGTGAGCTATATGAGGAAAATCTTGGGCCAATATTTAACGTAAAAGCAAAAATGCCTGAAGTCAGACTCAAAATCTTCCCTAAATACCCATAAAAAAAATTTACCTTAGTGGACTATGTGGTCTCATTAACTTCAAGTAGACTACGTGCATCCAAGGTCTGAGACCTCCCAGGGTACCAAAGGAACTGGTATGACTTTGAAAAGTCCTGATCACCCAGCATTTCCCGTTAACTCGCAAGCAGCAATGCTGCTTGCTAAGTACCCTTGCGTGCCAGCCCAGGTATTTAAATGGGTAAGTGCAGGCTGGTGAGCAGAACTTCAGGCATTCACTTTTAAAACTCTGGACCTTGTTGTGTTAAGATTTTATCCTTGTGGGAGTGGAGAGCCCACGGCTCCTAATGGCCTCTTGCAAAATTAGGTTTGGCTTTCCATTTAGCCTTCATGTGACTCTGTGTAGCGCCGCACGGAGCAGGAATTCTTCGTCTTTCCTTTGCAGCCTGTCAGAACAGTGATTAAGCAGACAAAGGGATTGATTGTTTTTTAATGAAGTAGTCTATCTGGCAAAAAATGAAGTCGGGCTCGCTGGAGACTATCCATGCTTTCAGTCGCCTCTTCAGAAATTCATGAATAGTTCCCTCAAGAAAACAACACATTTTTTCAAAAGCCTGAAATGTGTTTTTAAACATTTTGATTTTTCATCCTAAGTAGCATTTTGTTCAAAAAACCCTAACTGAATATAATCTTTGTGAAAAGAGTAGAAATTGTTACATTTTGCCTGGAATGCAGTGCCTTGCTACACTGTTAAGTGTTTCTGTAATGGTAGAGGAAAGCTTGCTGAGAGTTGGAAAATTTTGTTTCCCAACACTGTGTCTCCCTCCTCGACCTTCTGTTCATCCAGTTAACCAAAGATTAGTTATTCACATAGCTCTGCCTCTAAGTCACGCAGCTATTAAAAAAAAAAAATCCATTTATGACATCATAAAAAAGCCTAGATTGGAGGAGACCTCTAGAGATCATCTGGTCCAACCTTGCATTAAATTATTCTTAGTCTAACTTATGTGAGGACTTGTTTGGCAATCACAGGGGCCAGTACAAATTTATCAAGGGCTGCTAATAAAACAACAGCTTCAAGCCTGTCCAGAAACCTGGGAAAAAATTGGACTAAACCTTCTGGTATCTCACAAGTTAATTTTCCCCATTCCCAAGTTGACAATACTTCATTAAAGAGGGGAAGGGAAAAGCCAACTTCATAAGTAAGTGCAGTATCACACGAATTTAGTAATGTATAAATGGTTGTATTTCACAGTCCTTGGTGAAGACTAGGTCTACAGGTAGCTTACGCCTTCTTGTGGCAATCTGTTGTGGTTTGGGACCACCAGAGCCCACAGGATCGGTTCCTCGAGCCTTCCTTCCTTTGCTTTGCTCCATGTTCATAGCTACTTTGCATAGCTGCTGTCATTTCAGCTCATAGCAAAAACACACGTGGTGTTGAAAGCTACCACTATCCTATAGCGCAGGGGAAACTCTTCCACAGCTTCCTCTCCTGCCCCTCAGCTCTCAGGAACCACTGTGCTGTTCACAAGAGAGATTCTTAGCACAGAAGTCTCCTTTTATTTCCCTAGGAGGCATGACTTGCACCCCACACTGGAAGCTGTTTCTCTAGGAGGGGGTGCCTACACACACGCCGGCATGGCTTGTTGCCCCAAACTTTGCTATGCCAGTAAAATGACAGTCCTTTTGCCACTTCATGCCCGACTTCCTTACATTAAGGGACATGCCTGCCAAGCACAACAGCACAGCCTGTGTAAAATAAACATGTTTTAGGCCCCTCCACCGCTCCCTTTCACTTTTCTCCCCCTTTCTTCCCCAGATGCCAATAAAATACTCCTCTTTTTGGGGTTTCCTCCCCTCCACAACTGTTGGGTGCTCTGCCAGCTCTCAGCCCCCAGGCTTAGGTTCAGTTACTTACTCAATGGAGAATGGCGTTTGTCAATTCTAATGCTGTGTTAAACTGTACAATTTAAAAGCAGTTATAACCTTAAGCACAATTATTTAATCGCAGCATTTAGCAGATTACAGGTTGAAGACACTATATAAACAAATATCAGGCTGGATTTTCAGGCTATGTACTTGAAGGGAGGGCATGGAGATGGCATTGCCTTTCCATTATCATTCCACCCATCACCCATGTCATTAATGGCAGCAAATAATAGCTACAGGGGTTGATATCATTTCCTCCATCTTGCAACAGTGTCACAGCCTGTTCCTCTGTCAGTATTGCTGGAGGGAAGTGTTCTCTAGAAAAACCTCCACCTATTTTTGAGATGCCTTCTCACACACCTCCATGGTGTATCCCAGTGAGGATGCTGGGAAGGAGTGTGAATAGTCAGCTGCGTGTTCAAGACAGCAGCTAAAACCTTCTCCTGGAATTTGACTATGTCTGCACGGGAGGCTGCTCTGCAGAACACATATCACTTGGGGATTAAATAGCCAGTGCAGAGGTCCATGATATTGCAACTTGCCTGTATCTGCCCCCGAACAGCTTAATTCACAGGTATGTTTGTGCTATATTGACTTTTCCATTCCCTTTCCTCGGATAACAGAACATCTCCTGTTCTCTCCAAAAGGAGAGTTTGTGAACTGATTCTTGTTTTCAAGAAACTGATGAAATCTTTCCAGTGTTTTTTTTCAGAGGCTTTTTCACTTTTCAAACCAGATTGGTGAGGACTATTCTTGTGACACACAGTGCAAGGCTTCTGCGTGCTTTGCTTGTGGGGAAACTGAGGCAGAGCATGAGGCCTTATCTGCAGACACCCTGTAGGCCTGTGATGTAAATAGAAACAAAACCTCTGATCCCTAGTCCATTGCTCTGTTTGTTAGGCCAGTCTGTGTCTCTCACTGTCGTATTTCCCATGATGGACAAAATTCCAAATTTTATCGTCACCGGTAGACCATTGTTCAGGAATAGGCCATTGAGTAACTCTTTCTGCCTTATGCTTCCCATCATTGCTCTTATATGCTGAAGACCTGGTACTGCTGCTAAATGTTATAGTGACCCAGGGGAACTGGCTGACTATTTACTCAGCTTAATCTCCTGATTTTCAGCCAGGTAATTGGTTGCAGTGATTTCTACCCTATTTTCTCTTCTTGATTCTATGCTGACTCTTCGCTGATCGTTCCTATCACATTCATTTCTTTCACACATTGCTTGCAAAATTAAGGTCGTCTAGCAGTGGCCTTGTCTTTGCCAAACTGTGCCATTTATTTGTTTCTGAAAGCACTCAGAGTTTCCTTGTGACTAAGTCTGAACAACTCTTCTGCCTTTCCTCCCCTCAGCAAATATTGAATTTACCAGAAATTTTCATGTTGGCCATCCCAATGGGAGGTCTAATAGGCAAATTTCCCTGGGAAAAATATTTGGGCTTAGATCACCCAAACCTGGAGTGACAGGAACCTACGTCCACCTGTTTCTCAGTTGCCAGGTGCCTGATCTCAAGGCAAGCCAATATCGGCTTTTCTCTTTTCTCCAGAGGGCTTTAAACCCAAAACACTTTGTAGAGTGCCCTAGTGTTCAGGCTGGCTTGGTACAGTCTCTGCCCAGCAAAGGGCTTTTAGCGAACTGTCACGATGGAAGCACCAAACCTCCAGGAATGCACCGTCTTTGGCTGATGGTTGAATATGAGGGCAGTTGCTCAACCTCAGATGGATGATGTATGTCACAAGCAATCCCTTAACACAGGACTACTGTACTTAGCATTTTATCATAGGCCTGTAAAGCAAATGTTAATCTACTTTAGCATTCAATACATTTTGCCCTCAGCTGCTGTGATCAGAAAATGTGCAAGTGGCTTATACTAGTTTGTACTGTTTAGTGTTTACCACAGCCACTGAGCTACACAGTCCAACTAATCCTGAGAAGAGCCCTGCGGGATGGCACTGGTCACATTTCTACAAGATAGGTAAAATTTTCAGCCCAAGCATACAGAGGGAATATATGTCAGAAGAAATTAGACTGTGATCTTTCTGGGGTGCTGACTGTGTATGTGAGCCACAGAATCCAGGCACGGGGCTTTTTGAGCATCCTCCCTGCCTTGCACCTGGTGGTTGCATAGACACCTTCGGAGACTGGGATACTCTGGCTTTTGCATGGAAGATGAAAGAAAGGCTAATTGTGTT